GAGCGTGTGGTTCACATATGGGCAACTTTAAAAGCAGGCACTATCGTGTGACAAGACTAAACTTAGGGAAACGTGTCTGCAGTGACACGGGGAGAAGACACCAAATTCCCACTGGGGAAGCTCCACGAAGACTTTGGAAGAGAACGTTCATCTGGATCCACTTTCACACTCACAGAAACCTGCTCTTTCACAAACTTGGTCGTTTTGTGAAATGGCTTGGACTTGGACAGCACGGCGCCGTCCAAGGCCCTGAGGGCAGGAGGCCACTTCCCTTATACCACTGAACTACTTCTGGGTTGGCAGCAGCTACTGTCCCCACCCAGAGTGCCTTCCTTTTGTCTTAGCAGTTGTGAAGCGTGAGGAAGCACTGTCACCTGCCAGGCGCCCAGCCTCTCCCGCCTCCACTCGGCATGGCGGGGACCACCTGGCCTGCGGCTATGAGTGGGCTCAGCCGTGCTCTGGTCTCTGGCCAAGAGGGAGTTGAGGAACTTAGGTCTTATGCGTCAACACAGAGGAGTGCATAGAGAAAACAGGACCTAATTTGAAACTGGAGGCTCTGAATTTAAGTTCTGATTCAGCTGCTTCTTAGTTGTAAGCTTTTTAGACATCAATGGATTTTCTGGGCTTTATCTGGAAATTGGAGTTTCTTCATCTGGAAATTGGAGACATTAAGAACACCTGCTTTCCTACCTCAGTGAGGAAGTGAATGAACTACTACAGTATCATTTGGAAGCTGTGAATTCTGAATTGTTAGAGTTATGAGACTTGGCTTTGAATAGGAACACTGTGGTCTTTGTCTACGGTTAATTAATGCCGACTCTCTAGAACCATGGCTCTGCCTACACTGGTAGGCCAAATAGTAACAATAATGGCAACAACAACCTCTTGAAGAAGAAAAAGTCTGTAATAATATAATCATAATAGCTTAGTATTTGTTGAGAACCTTCTATGTGCTAAAACTAGTCTGCATGCTCAGATTCACCTCATTCAATACTTAACCACACCTCACGAGAACCACTATCACACCTGATCTCTGTCCCTGCACACCAGTCTGATGCATGGACTGAATGCGCCTGGATATCTGAATACTAATACATTCCACCTCCTGTTCTTGCACTCTCATTTGGGACCTTCTCAATGTTAGCCAACTGGACCTTCTTGAATTTTTACATACTCACGAGATGCCATGCTAGATGAGGCTTTCTCCAAACATAAGCAAGCATCAGGGTCTGACCTTGGGTTTATTCGTCCCAATGCAGCCCAGGTGTTCATACCTGTTCCCAGTGATCTCAGCACCACCTGAGCTATAAGAACTGGGTTTCCCATGGTTCCAGTTATTGCTGAATAACAAATCATGGTAACTACCATTAGGCTGGCCACTACCAGCCTAGTGGTAGTGGCTTCCAACCACAACAATCATTTTATTATCTTTCATATTTTGTTTGGATCAGGAATTTGGGAAGCTACTGGGTGGCTGTGGCTTGGGGGTCTGTCATGCAGTTGAAGTCAGTTGGTGGTGAGAGCTGAAATAGTGGGGAAACTGACAAACTGGGAACTGGCCAGAAATCTCTCTTCATGCAGTCTCAGGGCTTCTCCCTGTGGCTGTTCCATATGGACCAGTTGGGCTTCCTCCTAGCATGGCAATCTCAGGGAAGTCAAGCTGTATACATGGCATCTCAGGGCTTTGGCATGAACATTCCAGTGAGTAAGGTAGAAACCATGGTACCATTTTTGACCCAGTCTTAGAAGACATATAGCATGACTTCTTCCACAGTCGCAAACATGTCAAGATGCAAAGGGAGGGAACATAGATTCCACCTCTCCATGAGAGGAGTGTTAAAGTTACAGTGTAAAATAAGCATGTGAGATGAGAGATATTACTGCAGCCATCTTTGGAAAGTACAATCCGTCATAGCTACTGGAGAAGAGGGTCTACTGGGAAATAAGACAGACTCAGCCCCTAGATGCCACAAAAGCATCTGGTCCTAATGTTCCCACTCTGCCCCATGAGGAAGGCTTAGATTTTTCACCATCATCTTATGTGGGCCTTGGTTTCCCACCATCTTTTCAGTTTCTCACTGAAACCCTAGCCCTAGACTTTGAAAATTCAGGCTTCCTCCCCTAGACCATGGCAGCTCTTCCCCTCCTAGCTGGACCCCATTCCTGAGGATTGCCAACTGACTACAGTGGACACATTGTGGCCCTAATCTATACCTGGCAAATGCCACTGAGAAGAACACCTGCCACTCCCACTTCTGCCCCTCTAGTACCCTCCTGCAACGGCCATCCCAACCCAGACTGAGTTCAAATTCACTAAGTTGCCTATTTATTTTACCCATTTGTATGACTCCATTGATGACATCCAATGTGGGTTTCACCAAAGCAGCTGGCTGAACCTCAGAGTGTACAGTATCATGACACTTAAGCAGGACACTTCAAGGTATGGGCCAAGACAGGACTCAGCTCTGCAATTTGCTAGCAATATAAATTTTAGACAAGTCACATGACACTCTGAATTCTTGTGATATGAGGATAAGAGTACTTTGCTGTGTTGTATTTATCTGCAGGCTCCAGCAAGGTGCCTATGAAAATGAGTTGAAGACATGTATCATGTACCATGTAATTATTATTACGGTTGCCACCTAACATTGCTTCTCTATTCTCTTGCCCTGTCTACAGGGAAAGACAGTGTACCCTTCAGCTAAAATATGTCCGTTCTCTCTTAGCCAGCCTGCTCCAAGCCCAACAGGCTGTCCGCTCATTTTTCTCTATCACACTCCTGCAGCAGGAGATTAGAGCAGTGAATGCCATCCTGGCCCCACCTCCTCTGCCCTCACCTCACAGGCTTGCTGTGGGCAATCTCAGCCTCTTTCCAGATACCCTGTTAATGCCACCCTAAAATCGGATGACCTAAGTGGTTGGTCCCAAAGACCAGTCCCACATAGGTGGACACACCCAGGCCATGCTCCTTGAGTGAGCAGAGAGGCCTGCAGCTGGGCCTCCCCCACCACTCTGTGTTCACCCTGTCCTGCATTCCTGGGATACAGATGGGAACTGGGTACATGAGGACGGGCCAAGGCACCAAAGTGACAGCAATCAGCTATGGATAAAAGAGTAGAGTCCTGGACAAGCACCTCATTCCTCTCCCACAAGATTCAGACCATTCCAGGACAAATTCCCTAGGATGTTGCATTATCCGCCTGTCTGGACAGTCTGGCAGGAAGGAAACCTTTCAACAGTTCCAGCTTGATGATGGCTCTGGGCTTTTCTCCTTACTCTGATGTTTCCCACACAAGGAAAAGGAGCTGCTGGCCGGGCTCTGAAGATCTGGCCCATTTCTGATGCAAAGCAGCTTATTTCTAACTTCAGAAGTGCCAATAGTGCTGGAGGGGACTGAGTGAGGGAAAGGACGATAGAATTGTTTATCTTTCAAGGAAACCCAGACGGTAGAAACAGTCAAAAGATTAGCCTGGGTAGCTTTACTGCCAGGGATGGGTGGCAGGATGGGAACCTGCCTCCCGATTCTACCATGAATCAAGGTTTTACAACTTTTACAGGCATTTCTCTTTACTCCTCAAAGTAGCTTCGGGGAGAAAAAGAATGACAGTTTAATCTCTCTATCCTCGCCAATTTTTATTTCCTCCTACTGAACTACCCCCTCACCCTCCCTCCCAACCTAAAAAATCCATCTGGTGTCACTGAGGGCCAAGCAAGGTCCATGAACAGCCGCTGGAGGCTGATGCAGCCAGCGTGGGTTTGGGAGGAGCCTTGGTAGGATTGTCCTAGACTGGAGCTACTTGGCCAGTGGTGGGGCAGTGGTGGGCGTGCTGCATTAGAGGGACTGGGGGAGGTAGAAAAACAAAAAGCGATCCAGGACACATGAATGGGCCTGGAATAATGAGAAGGGAATGTGGCTAACAAAAGTGGCCAAAGTACACAAGAAAAGACAAAGAGAAGAGCCACCCTCGGAGGAAAGAGAACATGGAAGGAAAAGAAGATGGAGGAAAAGGAGGAGGAAGAGGCAGGGGGAGAAGAAAGTGCTAGAAATGAGGAGAGAGTAAAAACAAGGCAGAGAGGTTTGGAGTGAGAGGAGTTAAAAGAGTACGACAGTAAAAGAAGTAGGAAGAAAGGAAGGGAGAAATCACCAAATTATAAACAGGTTGTGCCCTAAAGACTTTCTTTACAATAGGTAAGTTTAAAACTAAAACCCATCTCCATCCAAGACATCGACTCCCATGTTGACTAAGTTCCTAATGCGACCTGCAAAATGGGCCAACTTAGACGGATCCAAGTGTGAGCACCTCCTTACGCTTTGTACCTAGGCACCTCTCTGGCTTCAGCCTAGTCCCGACCCAGATACAAAATCTCCGGGCTCTCAACCCTGCCTGCACATTAGGATTTCCAGGGAAACTTTTTTGTTTGTTTTCCAGAGTCTCGCTCTGTCATCCAGGCTGGAGTGTAGTAGCATGATAATGGCTCACTGCAATCTCTGCCTCACAGGTTGAAGCAATTCTCCTGCCCCAGCCTCCCAAGTAGCTGAGACTACAGGTGTATGCCACTGTGCCCGGCTAATTTTTATATTTTCAGTGGAGACAGGGTTTCACCATATTGCCTAGGCTGGTCTCGAACTCCTGACCTCAGGCGATCTGCCTGCTTCAGCCTCCCAAAGCGCTGGGATTACAGGCGTGAGCTGCCACGCCTGGCCAAGGGAGACTTAAAAAGTACCTATGCCTGGGTTCTTGCTTGGATGAGTTTAATCAGAACCTCTGCTGGAGGAACACATACAGGGTTTTAAAGCACATCCAGGTGATTTTAATGCACAGCCAGAGTTAAAAATCACTAATAGAACTTACACTGTAGTGTTCAGCTCTGGGGAGAGGGGCAGTGGTTAGTGGGCTTTTGGCCCTTGTAAATAATATTGTTTCTAAGGGGAAATGTGTTTAGGTTTTAATTCCAGATGTCAGGCACTAACCAGCCCCCACACCCCGTATCCCACATACCCACGTCTGCAACACTTATTTTGTCAATGGAAGTAGGAGGCACAATAGCTGGTGGAGCTTCCGCCTCCACCCCGAGTTCCAATGGGAGGCCCCCATTCCGTTCCCAGTGTGGCGAGGGCCATCCAGTCACGTGTGGGATACTTGAGTGTTTCCAAGTCAGGGAGTTCTTACTCAAGATTGGTTAAAGCTGAAAGAAAAGAGAAAACAAACTGTGTCAACGTGAGTCTCACTTGGATAAAAAATAAATAAACATACAATAAGTAAAAGAAACAATGTATCAATAATAAATGCCAGAGATGGAGGCTCCATAAGAAATGGCAGAACCTTCAAGTCAACAAACAGGGCCGGGCACCGTGGCTCACCCCTGTAATCCCAACACTTTGGGAGGCTGAGGCAGGCGGATCACGAGATCAGGAAATCAAGACCATCCTGGCCATCACGGTGAAACCTCGTCTCTACTAAAACTACAAAAATTAGCCGGGCGTGATGGCACATGCCAGTAGTCCCAGCTACTCGGGAGGCTGAGGCAGGAGAGTCGCTTGAACCCAGGAGACGGAGGTTGCGGGGAGCCGAGATGGCGCCACTGCACTCCAGCCTCCATGGAGATAGAGCAAGACTCTGTCTCAAAAAACAAACAAACAAACAGGGAAGACACAGGCCTGGAAATGAAGTTGAAATGTGGCTTAACAATTCCATACGAGGAAACCTGTTGTGCCAAGACATCAAGAAAACTGGTTTTTTAAAGCTGTGTTAACTTGTGTTAGAGCTGCCAGACATAGCGAGATCATTCCAATCAAACCAATACACAGCCATTTCTCCTGGGGGAAAAGGGACGGGATGGAGCTTGAGCACTAAACACTGGAGAAACTCGGCATCACGTGGGGCTACTGAAGACTCCACGCAAACCTCTGCAGCCCACACGCTCCACCCACGAGCCGGCAACTGAAGGGTTAGGTCCCACTTCCTACGGATTCCGTGGAGATATGCACATGGGAAGCAGGATGCTGCCTGTGAACAACACCCAGGGAGACAGTTGGCAGCAGCACAAAGCTTCGTGAAATCCTTGAAGCCAACAAGACAGATCAGAACAGGCCAGAGGGTACAGCCAAAAACCTGTTATTTCTTCACCTCTTCCAGCATCACACAATATAAAATCAATCAAATAACTGAATTACACCAGCCACAGCCTAGGGAGGATTATGTAAATGGAGCCATTGTCTGGTGGCAAGGCAGGCTCCTCTGAATTCCACTCTGAAGAGACTCTCTGGCCAGCAAAGGGGGGCCAGGGCTCTGGTGCCCAGCTGGTGGGCCCTGGGCCTGCGCAGAACAGAATCGCAGCTCATCCTTGCTGAGTAGGTTTCTCCCACCATGAGGGTGGCTGCTCCATGAGGGGCAGCCAGGCGGAAGAAGTCTGCACACCAGCCACCTTCTCTTACTCTAATTAGTAACAGGACAACACAGTTGTGCCTAAATTATTTGAATTCCTTTGTAAATCAGGCTCCATAGTTACCAAGATTGGAGATCTTTGCACATTCTCTCAGAATAAGGGGTTCACAGAGGGGCCCAGGAGGAGCAAGAAAGACGGCAGCCCAGCCAGGGGAGAACTGGGGCGTGCCAGGGTAGTCCATAGCAACACTCTAGGCAAAGCAGCAGCTCCCGAGATCTGATCTCGTCCTTCCTCCCATAATGGCAGGTCAACCATTCTCTGTTCAGATGCTACGGCCTCTTCAACAAATTCATCCATCTCATGGCTTCTGCCTTCTCACAGCTTCTGTTTCTTGTGCCATCTGCTTACTTGTCTCTATGTGCCTCGTAGCTTATGCACATCTCTAGAATCTGGCATATTTGAATGGCACTTAGTGACACTAAGACAGAGAGACTGATTAGTTCCATTAATTACTACTCTCTATGGACCTCTCTTATTGGACAGAAATCTCACTGCAGCCTCTCACTGGCTGCCTTTTGAGTCAGGCACCATCCTCTGGACCAGACTGCTAAGGTCAGAATAGAACAGGGTCATTGTGCAAAGCATGGTACCCCATGCATAAGGAATCGCCTGTGGCTTTGTTCAGGCAAAACACCTTGTACAGGAGAATCTCAGCCTCCCTTGATCTGTAACCCTGCTTTCCTTTTGTCAGTTGAAGACACACACACTCCTGGACAAGACACTAAAGCTATCATGAGCAGTGCACAGGAAAGCTATTGCATTACTAGAAGAGAAAGAACTCAAGTGGCTTCTAGAGCTGAATATCAAGGATTCTGGATTCTCATATGATAAAGTTGAAAATTACTGCACTGAGGTTGAATCAGGTGCAAAGGGAAGAATAGACTGTTAGAGAAGGGTAAGTAACAGTTATCCAGTGCTGGCCCTGGGTCAAGCTGTGACCTGGGGAGATAAGCACTCAACCAGCATTAACCACTACACGCAGCTCATGACATTCTGACGTCACTTGGGGCAGTCTGGCAAACCTGTTTGTTGACTGACTTCAAAGGACTTCCAACCCTTTCTCCCTTAACCACTATCACAGAAGCTGAAAAAGACTTTTCCAACTTCCCTCACAGGCGAGGAGTCTTGTGGTCCTGTTCTGGCCAATAAAATACAATGGGAAGTCATGTGGGAGTTTTGGAAAAGTTGTTCATTTTCAGAGAAAAGGAGGAAGAAGCCCTAGAACGTAGACCCTTTCCCCATGCATATACTTAAAAAAAAAAAAATCCTGCTATCACCTCCCACTTCCACCCCCTGCTTTCTGCTGGGAATGAAGACTTAATACCTGGAGAGGCTGATGCCTTCTTATAAGATGAGGCAACAAACATGAAGATGAAATTAAAGATGGTGAACTTGTCAAAAAGAGCATGGGTTCCTGTTGAGCAGCTGAATCAACAAATCAACACCGGCTGCATATCCAAACTGATACAAGTAATATGACTATCCCCATCTTTTATAGAAGAAAAAGGAGGGTGGGTAAGCAACTGGTCGAAGATCTCTTAGCTACAAAAGGGCTTAGTTCAAAACCAAGCCTGTTGATTCCAGAGACTGATCCATCATGATATGCTCCTCTCCAGACAGAAGAAACCTCAGAATTGAAAAGTTCATATTTAGAAGGACTCTTAAGCCTCTGTAGCCCAATTCCTTCCAATTAAGAGATAAGGCGCACAGTGGTTAAGTGCTGGGCCCGAGTCTATTGGCTTTTGCCTCCTGAAGCTGAATCCTGACACTCATCCAGTGTTCTTTACATTATCCCATGCTCTCTCTCCCGGGAAAAATAAGAGACTGTAATTCCTGTACAGTACCATGGTGGCTTATACATTGCCTTAGCTAAGGATTTGTCATCTTGATTCATTTTGGGCCTCTGACACCACAGAAACCAAGACAGAAGAAAGGACAATAGTATTGCGTTTCAGAAAGTTATCATGCTGGCCACATTACAGTTCAATGTATTTAGACTATATTAAGCCAAGATATTTTATACCAGAAAATGTTACCTGAGAAGGAGTATTATTAGTGGCTTTTGCAATATTCACCCTAGGAGCCTGCAGCACAATCCCCCGAGGGAGAACAGTATTGCATTTGTAAAGCAATGGCAGACGCCATCCCTGAGGCAATTTCTATTATTAAGCTGCTCAAAAATAAACACATAAATAAACCAAACAAAACAAAACTCTCCAATTTTCTAAAGAACTCAAGAAAATGAAAATGTCTTTTTACACACATTTGCCACCTTCCCATAGTTTGTTGGCCATGATGAAGACTTCGGTTTTGAAAACCCCAACTCTAAACATCTTTTTTCTTCCACACTCTGGCTCCTTTTCAAGCATCTCTTAACTCTCCCCAGAAGCTGCCATCATCCTATGATTGATGCATTTCTGGAGATTCAGCTGAACTTGTCTGTTCACATTATCCAGCTGTTCAGTGCCTGTGGTTTTCACTAATGGTAGTTATATTTGATCATTCCCTTCTTGCCCCTAAACTTTCTGGCAATGCTCAAGAAAAATATGGAATGCAACTAGTACTGAGGGCCCTGCAAATTTAGCAAAGTTTAGGATAGGAAAACGTTCTGCATTTGCAATAATATAGGATTCAGGAGAAAACAAGAAGACTCGTTCATTTACTTGTTCCACCAATAAATGTTGAGGACCTGTTGTATACCAAGGTCTCTGCTCAGCACTCTAGATGCTCTATTCCATTTAATAATGCTGCAAACTTAGAAGTTAAGCACTTCTATTATGCTCACTTTAATCAGGAAATTAAGGCTTAGCAAAATAGAATAGCTTAACCAATGCAAAATATGATGGGGGACTTCAAGAAGCTTACAATCTCTTAGGGGAGGTAGCAGGTAGTACACACACACACACACACACACACACACTACAACACAAAGCAGAATGTATTCAATAGATGATCCAGTTTCAGAGCTCAGAGAAAGATATTGCATTTAGGCTTCACGGAAAAGATTGCATTTAATGCGGTTCTAGAAGATGGGTCAGATTGCTGCAAAGAGAAATAAAAGAGAAACAGATCCCAGCACAGTAGAAGGAATGATATAAGTAAAAGGGTGGTGGCAGAGAAATATAGAACATGCTTGTAAATGGAGGATAAGCCAGTTTAGTAAGAGCAAAGGGTACAGGAATAGAGTAAAGGTGTTAGGACTGGTAAGGTAGGTTGGGTACAGGTCATGAGGTACCTAGAATGTCTATCTCAACCTGGAAATTATCAGAATCACAAAGAGGAGCCACTGAGTGGTTTTAGGAACCCATGATACTGTCCCAAGGCAGTAAGAAGAGTGTGTTTGACAGTAATACAAAGCATGGAAAAGGAGGTGAGGCTGATGACTGCCAGTCCAGGCAGCCAGCAAGCACACGACGCCATGGCAAACAGTGAAGGCCTGAGCCACGGCGGAAGTGGTGAGGATGGAAAGAAGACCACAGACACAAGACCAATGGCAAAAACACCTGGCAATGGATAAGTGGGTGAATGAGGTGTCAAGAAATGATTAGATGCTGATGGTGCCACTAATACGCATCCAGACAAAGCTCGGTGTCTGGGAGTAAACTGTCAAGCAAAAAAATAGCAGTGCGAAGAACTTCCAGTTTAAAATGACACCTGCCTGGCAGTCCATGACTCAACCTCTCCCAATTTCCCAGTAAATATACGTACATTCCCCACTACATGTTTTAAATAATTAAATT